ACTTTATCACATCACGACAGGAGCTCAACCACTGGAAATATTGCCATGGTGCAAAACATCAGGGTATTTGTCCAACATCACATTTTATTTCTGTGCTTTCTAATTACATTTCAGATTAGAAATGACAGCAGTTTGGGAAAAGCCATGTGGTCAACAAAATAGGGTGTATAGCAGATGGTAGGAGATGCACCTCTATTGATCATAGCAAATGCCACTTCCATGACTGAGAACAGAATTTTAAACTAGATGTTTGAGATCTTGCTAATCTATTTATTTATATAGATTAACTTTCTTCTTAGACTTTAAATTCTTATGAATTTCAGTGGTTTTCGAGCCTTTGCCTGATAGTCTCCCTCCAAAGTCCACATGAATGCATATTACACTTTCCTTTTTCTATCTCTTAACCTATTTTTACATCTTAACTCCTCTACATATCTCTACCTAAAGCTCTGCCCATGTTTCATGGGCCAGCCCATAATTTGTTTGCAAGTATGCATGGGGTCTGTGCTTGAAAGTAAGTTTCTTAGAGCTCAGTGCAGCTAAAAAAAAAAAAAATGTAGTGTTGGCACAAGGCCCATTCATTCCTGAGAAGTCAGATGCTGGACACACTTTATCTGTAAAGGCAGAAAGTTGGATTGCATGTTCTGAGTTGCCTTCTAGCTTAAACTTCATTACAAATTTAGCAGGACAATATTTAAACTAACCTTTAACCTTAGAATGATGCAAAAGGATTTTTGAAAACTGGTTTAGCTATGAAAGCTAAGAGCTTGGCCGGGGATTTAGCTCAGTGGTTCTGCTACCTGCCTCACAAGCACAAGGTCCCAAGTTAGATCCCCAGTACCAAAAAAAAAAAAAAAGAAAGAAAGAAAGAAAGCTAAGAGGTCAGAGCACAAAGAAGTGCAAAAAACAGGACAGACACTCTTCTGATAAGTTTTAGGCAAGTTATGTTTAAGGATTAGAAATTGTCTTCAATATTTTCTGTTAAGCTCACTGATCTCAAGATGTAATGGTAAAATACCTTGTTCAGAGTCCACATATTCATAGATGTTTTGTAGTGTTTTAGACCCAAATATGTCCATAGATGTATATTAGCTAATTAGGTCCATAACAAGATATTTCTTTTCTTTCTCCTTTCAGGTAAAGGATTTTTTTCAACCAAATACTGGTTTACTTAATTTGAGGCTATTGATAAAACTCTTTAAATTACCCCAAGTGAATCTTAGAAACCTAGCAAATCTTTAAAATTTAATTAAATACTGAAAAAGAAAAGAAAACTGTGTGTGTAACTGGAACTGTTGTTCTTTCAAGCTGATACCGTTTCGTAACTACGAACTTTCAAGAGAAGGTATCTGTGCCCTCCTTTCACCATTAAGCAAGCACAATATGAAGTCCTACTGAAATTCATAGGTTATTTACTTTTTTCAGCAAGTGGAGAAAGAACTATGAGAAGGGTCATTTTATAGGTCAGCTACCAATATTAGATTGTTGCAAAGATAATACTAAAGTATTTTTAAAAATCAAATTGTTTTTAGCCATTCCTGTATTTATTTCCTTACTGTGTTGAGGCACTGTAGCCTAATGTAAGACAAAATATGAGTCTGATTCTAAACTTGGGTGCAGGTTTTGTTTTTTTTATCTTTGAGGCTTTAGTTTCTATTTCTGAATACAAATTCTATGTGATATTCTTTTCCTAAGAGGGATGGCTGCTGGTGAAAGAAATCTATTCACTAGAGGGTTAAAATTCTTCTGATAAAGTTCCAAACTTATTTTAATGAGCTTTCGCTTCCTGAAACATTTTATTTGGATACCAAAAAGTTACATATATTTATGATATACTTTTCCTATTCTCTGACTTTACTGAAAACTATGAGCATTAAAGTATTAATTTTAAGAAATGTTAAATCTTATTTTTGATCTTTACCATGTCCTTTTTATGTATTGGTATAATTTTCTGTCCCTCTGTGCCCTTAGGCTACAGATCAGCTTCTCCCAAGGCAATGTCATAGAGTGACAAGGACCCTGGGTGAGGAGGGCGGTCTGCATGCTCAGGACCTGCTTATCTGGGTCCCTCCCAGCCACAGGGGATCTCTAGGTGTGCTCTCTACCCACATTATCCTCCACACTATTGAAAGTGACTTCCCCGACTGAACATTTGGTCCAAATCTTTTATTGGCTTTCTGCTGCACTCAGGACAAAGTCCACCATGCTCTATAGTTTGGCCCATGATACGTGGTCCTGCAGTATCCCGTCAGCCTTTCCCTCTTCTACTCATCTTCTCTGTTCCTTTCCCACATGTCCTGCTGCAGCCACAAGGACACACAAGTTCCCCCAGCTTGCAATGAGGTCTCCAATTCTAGGACATCACTGAAACTGCTGATTCTGTACCTAAAGGTGCACAGAGTGAACCTGTTGAAATCCTACACCCTTTTCAAGAAAAACTCAAAGAATTCCAACATGAGGTCTTTCCACCAACTCTTCCATCAGGCAGAACTGACTACTGTGTTCTTTGTGCCCCATCTTATTCCTGCATCCTAAAATACTTTGTTAGACTTTGCTGAAGTACTTGCTTTCTCTACAGAGTTGGAATTTTCTTTAAAGACCATGAATTATTTTCATTAGACTTCTAGCACATTGCCTATATTGGTGATGCAAAAAACCCAAAAATATTTATAAATGGTTGAACAAATAAATAACCAGGGAAAATGTCCAGTAACCATCAAGGGCTAAGAAACACATATCTGGTTTCTAAAGAGTTAATCCTAAGATTTTATTGGGCCTTTTTCCCTATCAGCTCAAGCGGAAGCAGTTAATGGAACTTTTAGTTCCATAATTAGGGGAGGCCAGGGAAGAACTCTCAAAAGTTTCATGTGCAGATGGAACTTGCATGAAACATACACAGGTTTTGGAAATTGTCTAAATGACTTTGTTTCTCTAAGCAGTGTGTTGCCTTCGATATTAGAAATTCCCAACTGAGAACTGAAAAGAACATAGTGAGGCAAAGACAGGGAGGGAAAGAGTCCAGGTGAAGGGAAACACAGGCACAAAATATTGGGCATAGAAAAGACATGGTGTCTTTGATGTCCAGCAAAGCTGCAGCCCCAGAGAGAAGGGGGACATCGTGTCAAGTAATGGGCACATCATGCATGGCCTTCTAGGTATTCACACCAAACAGTGGGTCACCATCCATAGATGGACCACACCACCCTAGTGGGTTCCCATGGGAATCCAACTCAGGTTGTTCCTAAGGTCCTGCTGAAACCCACAGTAGGAGATGTGTTGATAGTCATAGTCAAACTCCCATATAGCCTCACTTAAATTTTTAACACTTTAATACTTATTTAATACTTGTTAAAAACTGATAAATTTTCTGATTTCTGCAGTTGTTTTCACCCTTGTATTTTTTCTTCTAGTTGGAAAAATGTGTGCTTATTAGTGCAATGTTGAAAATATTTTGTTGGTCCTTTATGGATGCTGAGCTGGCTCTTATTGTGTATATGCTACTTTGACATTTGTCTGAATTCATTTTGTTCACTTTCAGATGCAGTCTAGGAACTCACTTCATTCTTTGTAAGAAGCTGACCAAATAAATACTCATGACTGTTATTGTTTCGCTGGATGTCTTTCCTTTCAGAGATCTCTACTAGGGCTGGGGATATTCCAAAAAAAGAAGTTTCCAGTCATATAAACCTATGTGGTGTCCACAAAGGGTTATAGATGTGCATTCTAAATGTAAATGAGTCACCTGAAATGAAATATATTAAACAGGAGGATTTGAGGGAGAAACCGTAGAGGGAGTAAGTTGAGAAAAAGAACCGATGAAAAGAGCGAGCAATTCAAATGCCTTTTCCAGTTTTATTACCAAGTAGCTAAGCCTTAGGCTGCTATCAAGTTTTTGTTAAATGTATACTCAGTGCCTCTGGCCTTTAATACTTTCTGATTATTTTTACTAATTCTCCTTAGCTGTTTTTATAACACTTTAATAGACAGACATAATTTCCACTGATTCCCACATTTTGTGCTGTAGGAGTAAGCTAAAGCTTATATACAGCATTTATTAAGAGATATAGATTATTTTTCTTCATTACTTAACCCTTTTTATAATTTTATATATTTTCATTTTATTTGAAGGACAATATTTTCATAATTTTAATCTTAATATTTGCTGAACCTCAAAATCCCTATCAATAGGTTGGTGTTTGATAGTATTTATTTTTCTATTATCTAAAAAGCCATTATAACTGGGTAGTGAAGGATAACTCAGAAACAGTATGTTTTGCATTCTCTTTAGTTAATTTGTGTGGTAAATATAAATACATTATATATATATATCTATGAATGGGGAGATAGGCTTGATTTAAATTTATTATGTAATATGTCAGTTTTAACATTGAAAATTTTAGTACTTACACTTAGCTATCCACCAAGGTTTCACAGGTGATAAGTTAGGAAAGCTTATCATTCTCTATGGCGAAAGATGTGATAGAGTATTGGAAGAAACATACATGAACTTCCACAAGTAACAATTAGTAGTTTAAAAATGTAGAAATGTTCCAAGTCAAGGAAGCAGAAGAATTTTAAAGTGGAATTTATAATAGAAGACAAAACATTGTGGGGTTTGGAGCAATGATTCATGACTCCATGATTTGGGAACAAACTGACTCGCTGGCAGCTGACGAGAGGAGACAGATCAGAGGTGTCAAAGAAGATGTGCTCAGTTTTCTGTGGCTTTTCCATGAATCTGAGCTTCCAGCTGAGGAGCCCAGGTGACCTTGTCTGTGGGTTAGGTCTGAGAAAGCCTTCCTACTCCATTTTGAGGTGTGCATTTCCGTTGTACAACTGAAGAAAGCAAGTCTTGCCTGCCTCATCTGTAAGCCCTTGCTATGCAGAATTCTGGAACTGCTACTAGGAGGGCTGTGGGGTAAAACTGTCTTGTGATCTATTTCATGGCCCACTTGGTCACCTCATTCTTGGTCCCTTTCTCAACTTCTGTGTTTTTATAGGTCCTGGTCATACAATGACAGCTGAAGACACTGCTGTGTCTGACGACCCTTACATACCTCCAAAGCTACCAGGTCTGCTTTTATTTGTACATGGTTGATTTGAATGTAGAATTAATGGGATGCAACTCTAACGGTACCTGACTAGTTACCATGAGGAAACTGTGACAAGCACTGAGAAATGCAAGCTAGGTAGATGTGGCACCTACTTCTGTGGAACTTCCACTTCTCACAGAAATAGTACTGTGGGTTAAAGAAAACTAAAATAGCAAGGAAAGATTGAATGTGGCCATGAAGTACTGGGCCAGAGAAAGAGATCCAAGGGTGCCACAGTAAGAGGGCCGATGGCCAAACAGAGCTGGCTAGGACCTGGGCTAGGCCTGTGCTGCCTGCAGACCCTGAGTTAATTGCCTTATGTTTAAAATGAAGCCAGTAATCCTTGCCCCATAGTGTTTTTCTAAACATTAGGTAAGATGTATGTAAAAATGCAAAGCTCTGACACATCCTGAGGGCCTGAGAACTGATAGTCATGAGCCAAGCTGGGTGCTGAGATAAAGGTAGCAGGAGGCCTTCTCAATAGTTTTCTTTTGAGAAGAAGATGACTTTAAAAGGCCTGGTTGATAGTAAAAAGTGAGAGTCTTTTGTAGCAGGGCTTTAGGGAAGATACTCCAGGTGTAAAATGATGCCTGAGAGACGACTTGTAGAGTGGCCTTGCAATCAGAAGCTAGAAAAACCATTGAGAAAATGTCCCAAGATAAATGGCGCCAATAGATTTTTTTTTTTTTTTTTTGGTACTGGTGATCAAACTTGGTACCTTGTGCTTGCAAGGCAGGTAGCCAAACCACTGAGCTAAATCCCAGCCCAGCAGCAATGGATTTTAAGAACAGAAGCCAAGGGAATTAGGCTAAGAGCTTAGAACTAATTATTAGGCTTCTGGATCTAATTAAACAATCTCACTTTCAGGTGCCTTCGACATGAAGCCAATATGATAGAGTCAAACTGGAAAGCATTTAAGGGGCCAGTGATAGACATACATGAGGCTAACAGGCCATGTATTATGCAAATAATGGCCAGCTTGGCAGGGCAATCAGTATTTTCATACATAATTTATTCTCATAGGAACCCAAGATAGGCATTGTAATATTCATTTTTCCCAAGAGAGTACTGAAGCACAGAGAAATTGACTAGTAAGAGACAATGGTCATGGCTGAAACTCCATCTGTTTTCTCCAAAGCCCTCATACTCTGATACAATAAAAGAGAAGCTTCAATGAACCTGTATACATAACTCCTGAAGAATGACAAAATATAAGAGCCCTTGACTACATGACACAATGTAGTGCAATGGGTTTTTTGTACTAAGGAAAGTCAAGAAATTTCTGTGGCTGTGGTAGTAAGAGAGTTTCATGATGTGAAAGGGAACATGGAGACAACATTGAGAGAAATCTAAGATGTAGATTGATTGGTTGGAACCTTAAGGCAAATAAATCTATTAGAAACTTGTACAGACAAGGAATTCAGTGGAGCCATTGTCAAAAGCTCAAATGAAACATGGTATGGGTTTTGAATCAGACAGTAGCTGTGGCATAAAACTAGAAAACTGATAGCCACATGGTGTTTGACAGGCTTGGACTAGAATCTGGGTGGAGTCTTGGTTCTGCGGCGTGTCTCCTTTCTTATCATTTTTACATTTAAATTAAAAACCCACTACCTCTTGTGAAAATCTATAGGTGGCTCATCAGTATTTCCTCCTTTCTATCCTTTAGCAAAGGGGATAGTTTGCTATTTCTCACTTATGAACACGTTTTGGATAGTTAAAAGTAGATTCTGAAATTACTAATGGTAAAAGGCTGGCACATTTCTCTACTAAATTTTATTAGCTTAATATTTGAGGTTGAAAATTAGTCCCCAAATATGTTAACAAGAAACCCATAAAATAATCTACCTCTAAGAAGTTTCATACATATCCTATTTATTCTGACTCATTTCAAATTTTGTCTATTTTAGCACCAAGACGAAAACAACTTGTTCACATGTTCTCAGAACCAGGTATGTTAATATTTGCTATAGGCTGATTGTCATTCCATTTTAAATTATATACTGTTAGTTTGAAATGCCTGAGAAATAAGAAGTGTCTATTTTAAAACAGAAAAGCATATGCTATTAACTTTGCTCACACGGAGTTGTAAAAGGCAAACGAAATGTTCTCCTAAATTTACAAGAAGACTTTTAATTTTTTAAGCACTTTGGAAATAGCAACAAAATGTTGATAATTTTTTTAAGTTACATTTTTCTGGCTTTGTAATCAATCATAGGTAATTGAGAAAAGTTTCTTAGTGTATAAAACAATTCTTCCCTAATGTAAAGAAAAGAGGCTCAAAAATTTTTAATTGGTGTGATACTGACAATAAATACAGATCACCTCAATCTTGATTCATGTTTGACATAGCTGATGTCATCCCCTTCCCTTCGTGCTGCCTTAGGTCTGGCCTTAATTCATTCATGTTCCCACTGTTTTACATTTTGAACTCTCCATTCACTCTTGGGCATGTCCACATTTCACAGAGGGAAAAATGAATGAAGTGACAAACACTAACTTCATTGCTATCTCACAGACTAAAGTCAAGTAGTCAAGAAGGCTAGGCAACATCAGCAGGAGGAAAAGCTACCTTTAAAAGATGTGCTTTTGCTCTTTAAATAAAAAAATAGGTCTTTTAGACATAAATTAGCCAAATAAATGTGCCATGTCAGCTGTATACCTAGCATTCGGTTATACTCACATCTTGGGCAGCACTATACATGTACCGCAAATATGGGGAATTCCTCTAACTTGCCTGGTTTAAAGTGCTTCATTTACAACATATAAAAGATTTCAAAATTATTTTGAGCCACTGTATTAGTGACTGTGCATAAAGATGGTTTGGAAGAAACACAAACTTAGAATATAGGAGAACTGGATTATAATTACAATTCTACACAAATAAATGTTTGACTTAGCTTCATAAGGCTTTACTTACTCATTTGAAAACTGTTTATGCCAGTTTTGTTCCACGCTTAATGATTGATTATGCAATCTGTTTAGCACCATTTAATAAGGTAAAACATTATTTTCTCTCCTAATGTTCAAACTACAAAAGAGTTTGTGGCTTCTTCTCCCATCTAGGTAGAATGATCACATAGCTCTTACCTATAATTACAACTCTAAAGAACACTGGACTTGGAATCAGAACTCTGAGGTGTTGGTTCTGTCATTAACTAGCTAAGTGACCCTAAGTAAAATATTTTGTCACTCAAAGTTCTAAATGCCCACACAGTTATTTTGAAGTCTCCAATTTTCAAAATTTATAAAATATGCAGAAAATTTTGCAGTACTAATATATTTTCTGTAAACAGGCAAGGTGATATTATCATTTTACCTGTTTTATTTTTCAAGTAACATATGGCAGTTCATTTCACACTTATATAATTTCTCTGCTCTCTTTTTTTCTTCCATAGTGATAATAGCCATTATCTTGGGGGTGATAGCTGCTATTGTTGGAGTTATTCTCTCTTTTGCTGTCTGTGTCCAGCTACTGACAAAGGTGAGAAGTCAATTTTTAATTTTGCTTTAAGTTCTGATGTGAGCAGTGTTAGGTAAGTTTGTTTTTTTGAGTAAAATAAAAATGAAGAGAATGAAAACTGTTTAAAATTCCATGTTTTTCAATTGGACGCATTATTGAATTGAGTCGCTTTAGCAGAATTTTTTTTTGTCTTTGAATGCTTATGATAACCCTCCAATATGAATCTGTCTTCCATGTTCCCAATTAAAATTTCCCCCAAAGTTTTTGTCTAATATGATATAGTATATTTTAATGGATATAGATGAAAATTTCTGCTTACAGTATTTATGTACAAAATATTTCAAATAAAATTATATATTTAAATATCTTTAAAACTTTGGCTTTTTCCCATTATCACATTTTCTAAAACAAATTTTTCAGTCTATCCATGAATTTTTAGCATGAGAGTTTCTCTAAAATCAGTAAAGCTATTTTTAAGTACATATGACACAGATTTCCAAAGCACACAACTTTCTAAGATGTGTAAGACACAACATCAGAGATGACATTATGATGCTGTCACTGGATCTATATCCCACATCCAAAGTGCCTAGTCACAAAAGATTGGTACAGCAGGGTTCTCATTCATTTTCTATTCTTAATCTCTGCAATCTCTAGACCATAATCACTCTAGTCCCTTTAACAAGCTTGTATAGAGGGTAGCCACACTCCAGTGGTGAAGCCACCAGCATGATACCAAGTCTGTTAAGTTTCTTTGTCTACTTTCTTTATAAACAATGTCTGTAAGGTGACCTCTATAATCATTCACTTTTATGATTCTCATTATTAGGCATAAACACATCTTCCATAATACTTTAATAAAATTTTATTACATATTAATAAATCCCACATTATTAACTACAATAGTTTATTAACTTTAACGTGCTATTGTACAAAAGATTGTGTAAGGGCCTGAATATGAGATTACTTCTCTTGTCTGAAATATATATATATACATATGAGAAAAATCATCTGTTTGAGAATATATACCAAACTGAATTGATTGATCAGTTTTCTAAACCTGAAAATATATCAATGAAATGCTTAGTTGGAAAAATTCAGAGCATTTCATTTGTACATTTTCATGAATTTTCACTGTTAATTACAGCACTGGAATATGGAAGAGTCCCTGTATGGGGTAATATTCCACCTATTGAATGCTAAATACTATTTAGAAATACAAAGAGAACTTTAAATTAGTATTTATTAATATCTATAAAAGAGCATTATTCTCAAATGGCACTACAAAGTGATTGTCAATGAAAAAAAGTTTTGAAAAATATTTTTAGCTTAAGTATTTAAATTTGTATTGCCTTGAGTTTCAAAATTCTGGTGCTAATATTTTTCCTGGTTTTTATGCATAGAAATCGCCAGGTGACAAGCTACCACCCCTGGAAGACACAGGAGAACCTTTAAGTTCTGTTGAAGTAGAATATACAGGTTGGTGTGAATATGTGCCTTTTAAGAAGGGAAATGAATTGATAAGGTCCTTCTTTCTGGGTTGAGCAAGGGATAACCAATTAGCACTCATTTATATTCTAATTCATCAATACTACTGCTATAAGAATTTTAAAAGAGAATGTGTTGCCAGCCTTAAAAGTGTAGATGTTGATATTTATATTCCAATATTAATTATAAATCTAAACTCTAATAATGATGGGAGCTTCCATATCAGCATGAGAGCAAGTCGTAAAAGCTAAATAGGGGCTGTTGTCACTACTATTTGTCTAAATATCTAGCCCAATCAAGTTTATTGCCTCCATAATGGCTCCTGGGAAAAATCTCACTGAGAGTACATAATTTCTAGTAAACTTGGCCTGAAGCATAAATTCAAGAAACAGCTATTTTGGGAAATGTCCACCAAGAACAATTTTCCGGAATCAGTTTGAATGCTCAAGTAAAGGGTTCTGATTCTGCTTTCTGAAAAACTAATTGAAAATGTTCCCATATTTGTTAATTATTATGACAGATCTTAGGTTCAGGAGATATCCAGATTCTAGTTGTAATGCTGGGTCAGACCTCTAACATCAAAGAACTTAAGTTTTCTAGAGGTTGGCATCATAAAAACAGTTTAAAAGATCCACCGCAGCTCCCCAGATCATATGCAAGGTCTTATTCATCAGATTATCTTGTCAGTTCTTAAAGTTTCACAGTGATTCTGATCTCATCCCATAGTCCTAGGAAGTTCCTGCTACACAGAGTGAATGGCGTAGCCATAACTCTTAGCAAAAGGTATGAATAAAATTCAATCTGCAGATGCTTAAAACAACAAAAGCTTTTCAGTCATCTACCAGATTCACTTAACCTACTGAGGTCACCTTGTAATCAGACTTTCAGCTATTACAAGACACTGTAGAGTGTTCATTTTATCTATACTCTGCCTTATTTCACAATAAAATGCATTGATGTACTCAAATCCTAGTTTTTATTGCCTAAATTTCTATACGTTTTGAGCTATTTATGGTGACAAATTGAGTGTATAGCATTTCCTCTGTGACTTGTTTTTCATATAGTCTTGAACCTTTCCATAGAATAGACCACAAAAGTATGCAACAGTTAATACAGCACAGTGGATTAAGTATCCCTGGAAATTTAATTCAATAAAGTGCAAAAAACATGTATTAAATGCTTGCTGTGGGCACCACACTCACAGTATCAGCACCAATCTGAGTCTTTGTCCTTTAGAAGCTGAGAGTCTAACAGGAAACTGGGATGGTCATAGTAGTGAACAATTCTAAGGTAATGGAGGTGACAGGTACAGGTTGCAAAGGATTTGGAGATGGAATCCCATGATGAGTCATAAAGAACAGACAGAAGTTACCCAAGGCAGACAGTGCTAGCAGAAGGCAGCTTGACAAAGCCACTGAGGAAGACAGAATGTGGTCACCCAGGAATCCTGTGCCCTTCTGCATTCACAGAATTAATGTTCCAGTTTGCTGTTGATGTCTCAGACAAAGTATATGTAAAGGCAGTGGAAAGTCAGGTGAAGCAAACTTTAGGTTCATTTAATTTCCTCATATTTATGTAAATGAAATTATGAAGACTATCTTAGTAAGTTACTGAAAGGAGTTATGAAACCTCACTTCATCACATAGGAAGTGTCAGAATACACACATTTATGAAAGGTGCTTTAGTCCATTAAGTAATACTGCTCTAAAGTAATCTACAAGGCAAATTCATATGAGGCTAGCGTTACTGTGTTATCCCAATAGAAATATGAGACTTTAGGAAATAATACAGGGATGGATTGCTTTAACCTCTTTGAATTTGAACATGGTTGTTTGTGCTTGGTGGGAAATGAGAATAAGTGAATCTGAATCAACTGCCCATTGTGGCAGCTACATGTGACCACGCTAGTCCATTTCTCACAGGGAATTTTTGGCTGCTCAGTTCCCATGGTAAACAAAGCAAAAGATTGGAAAATATCGTACTTCCCTAACAGCAAAGGCTCTTCCCATTGCGGTCTTGTGCTTGCTGGGACATAAACAGCAATCCAACCTACACATAACATCAATTCAAATTTCCAAACAAGAAAGTGAAGATATGAGTTGTAATGCAGGAAACCATCTTAGTGCTTTCTTTTATGTGCCAGAATCAGATAATTCAGCTATAATTTCTGTGCAGACGTGTTTTCAAAAAAGTTATTCCTAAAAGATATTTTACAAACTTTGGATGCTTTCTCAAATTCACACATGCTTATGAAATTCAACTCACTTATTTACTCCCTATATGTGCTGTCACTTTTTCATCTCAAAGTGGGAGCAGAAGAATTTGTTTTCTATCTCAAGCTTCTAGAATACATTTTCTATTTTCTGTGTCTTTCTGTATTTAAAAAAATCTCCAATAGAGCCGATATGTAAATTTCATTGATTAGTATACCTTTCATTGATTAGTAGTTACATTCAAAGAAAACCTAAAGACTAAAAAATCCTGAAATTTATTTTGTGTAATAATTTCCTGTTGTGTTTAAAAATGTCTCGCACTGCTTTTCTAATGTTTCCCCTACAATGCTTTACAGAAGAGTAATCAATGAGAATGTGCTCACCAAGCAAAACAGTGGAAGAACTCAACAAGACACAAGATGGCAGTCAATCAAAAAATGAGCTTGTGAATTGGGCACTTCAACAAATTTTGTACCTGCCTAAATTGTACCACTTCAGGAAACAAATTTCATTATAGTGAGTTCCAGTGACCTAACCATGGAAAAATAACTCTGCTCATTAATACTTCAAGATAAAGAACACATATTTCCTCATGCTTGCTTTCTTGTTAGCATAATCTTATAATTAGTTGATTCAAAATTTTGACCCACAATTCCAGTTGAATTTATCTGCGTTATTCTATTCTACTGTGTTTTACTAATGGTGCTGTAAAATATAGGGCTTGTGACATCTCCATGCACCCTAAGTTCTCTTCCCATTCTAAATTTTTGAGTTCTCCATTATTTTAAATAAGTTGAAGGGACATCTATTAAAAGGATTTATTTTCCTTATTGCTCAATAGGCACAATATTGGATTACACTAGAGATGTTGACATTTTGTTCCCACTGATATGACTTATGCTTGAAAGTGCTATAAATATAAATTATATATAATGGTACCTACATTCATTATTTAGTGCATAAATCAAGACCAAAGTTTTCTGCCATTCAAAAGGTGAGATATTGACTATATACAATTGGCCCATGTAAAATAATTTGTCTGGCAATAAACCACTAATGCACTGTGTTCCACTGAAAGAGTTATTTACATAAGTGGTCGGAAGATTCTGAGTAAGAAAAAGATTAATGACTTGCAAAAGAACTTTAACAACTCTGAATGTAACAAGATGTACAAACTTTACATGCTGGTGAATATTTTAATAAGTCACACTATATTTTCAATTAAATTATTTAATGTATCCAGACTCACTCCACTTACTCTTAATGACAAAACTTTAGAAACTGTTTTAGATTATACAAATGGAATTTCCAGATATTATAGAGTAAGTCTTTACAATTGTCACTCATTTGTAAAGACATCTAATATAAATATATGTATACAGGGAAGGAAGAAATTCTTGTGATATTATATTTCCCAATTAATAAAAATCCATATGGCTTTCCATTGTTGTGTAAGAATTAAATAATTATATGTTCATATTTGGATCTAGAAACAAATTTAGTTCTAAAAAAATCTAAGTCTTACTGTATGTTCAGGGAACATTTTTGTGCTAAATTCCCTATTTAAAATAAAGGATCAAAATGAGAACATTTTCATTAGAATGTGTTTTTTAAAAGTAGCTTGAAAATAAATTATTATGTTAATTTAATCCAATGAATGATCCAAGTGCTAAGGTAATTTTAACTGTATTTCTAAAAATAAAGATAAAATGTTGAGCTAAGGACAAAAGACTAATCTTTTTACGGTAATTTAAAAATCAAAACCAGCAAGAGATTAGAGGACTACACTGTCTCCAACAAAGGTACAGAATTTCCAGAGTAATTAAATTACAAATTGCTTTAACTTCTTTGAATTTTTCCTGATACTTTCTCTGTACCTCTCTATGTAGACTTTCTACATTTAAATTTGGTATTTGTGGGAAGAAATGACTTTTATTCTCTTTGTATTTTTTAAATAACTAAATAAAAATTTTAATAAAGAAACCTGTCCTGTGAAGACAAAATGGCCCCATGGATGACTCAGGTTAAATTTCTTAAAGTTAGATACTGGGGTAGGAGGAGATGGTGACTTGGTTAGAAAATTTTGTTCTTTAGTTCTGGGTATTTTTTTGTACCCATGTCAGCAGAGGTCTAAATGAAGGAGAAAATGAGTAGGAAAAAGTGAGGGACACTATGGAGTAAGGATGTGAATAGCAAAGGGGGATTCATTCCACAGACAGCTGGCCTGAAGGCAGGAACATTGTAGCAGGAGGGCATGGAAAAGCAAAACTGCTTAGCACATGGTAACTGGGGAGCAGGTGAAAGAGCCAGAGAGGAAAGCATGAGGGACCATACAAAGTCCCCAAGACCATGCCTCCATAACCACCCAGAGACACCAGAAGCATGCTCTAGTAATCTTCTAGGTGTTTTTTAATCCAATAAAATTGGCATATCAGGATTAATTACTCTCCATGCTACTTTACAAAACTGTCTTGAGCTTTATAAAAAAGAATGAGGTATAAATGGCAGCTAGTACCACCTCAGTGGTCAACGAAGGGCAGTTTTGATTACTCTCACTTGATGCAAACTCTTACCAATAAGCCACTTAGAATCCTCTAGAAAATTAACTTTAAATGTGCTATAGAAATATTTCATCATCAAGTTTAGTTCTTAGGTTTCTTTTTGTCTCTTTTTTTTTTGATCTGCAAAGTTAAACAACCAATATTCTTTAGTCACCTTAGTATCACAATATAATCTTTTACTATGTTGATGTAGAAAAAGAAATCACCTCCCTTAGAGTAAGTTGAAAGAGCAGACAATCTTCATAAAAGGGAAAAATCTCCTGATTTTCACCATTTAGTGTAACTGTATTAGTCAGCCTTCCCGTCACTGGGACAAAATACCTAATACCCACCACTTACAGGAAGAGGTCTGTTTGGCTTACAATTTCAGATAGTTCAGTCAATGGTTGGTTGGCTCCAAAACAAAAATAGCATGGCAGAAGAGCTAGGCAGAGAAAAGCTGCTAAACTCATGGCAGCCAGGAAGCAGAGAAACCAAAAAGAGCCATATTGAGAGATATTCTCTAAAGGCACCTCGCCAGGGACCCACCTCCTCCACGGGGGCCCAGCTCCTATCAGAACATTGAGCTTGATCCATTGATGAAGTCAGAACCCTCATTATCCAACTGTCTTCCAAAAGCCTCACTTCTGCGCACATGAGACTTCTGTAGGAGAGGAAACACCAGAGTAGGAGGATCTGAGGTCCCACTATCCCTTTCAGGGCCATGTCCCTAGTAGCCTAACTTCTTTCCACTAGGCCCCATTTTCTAAAGCTTCTACCACCTTCTGACTACACCACAGGCTGGTGACCAAGTGTTTAGCATAGGGACTGTTGGGGGACATTGAAGACTCAAACCCTAAGAAGGACCCATCAGAGAAGAGCATGTTGGCAGACACCACAGTGTTTCAGTTACAGCACTCAGAGGGCCTGTTATTGTTTTAAATATTGCTAAAAGTTACATGGAAATTCTACACCCCAAAAATATATTTAACTGGTGTTATAAACTCAGTACATGGGTTTAATACCATAATAGAGTCAGATGAATAGGGAATTGGAAAAGTGAAGGACAGGTCTGAAGAGAATGTTCAGACTGAAATGCAGAGAAACAGCAACATGCAAACATGGAAATGTGCACATGGTGAATACAGTACACAGAGAAAAAGTCTATGTATTGTAAGAAGAATCCTAGGAGGACTGCAGAAATGTAATGGGTGGAAGGGTTTACAAAACTATGAAGAGCCATCAAGCCACCCTCTCATGAGGTACTGAATCCACAAGAAGGAAAGCACAATAATACACAACGGAAAAAAGCAGAAGAAAACTTTAAATGAAGTCAGTCGAAAAGGAAAACAAAATGTATTCCACATGTCAGTGTGGGCCACATGTCGATCGAGTACATAGAATTTTTGCCATCCTCTCTAATATGTATTTAAACCAGAATAGTGTCTGGTTTATTTATATGTTGATGGAATAGAGTCTGATATTCTCTACAGCTCTTTCCCTCAAACTAAAGCTCCTGGATTTTTTCCTGCATAGATATTAACCATAGGTTAACCTATAAGAAGGAAGCATGCAAACACTTTTTGAAAGAAAAAGGAATATTACACCAAGTGGTCACTGAGATATGATTATATATACTATCTGATTTTTTGTTTGGACAAACAAGTAGCTTTTCAGAACTAACCCTAATTTATCTCTTTAAAAATGTAAACTTGCTATATTGAAATTTATATAAAGCTTGTGGATTTTAAGATTAAACAAAATTAACATGGAAGAAAAAAGACAAAGAGATAAGCATAATCGCCTTTTCACAGTTTAACCTCAAGGTAATTTATTACTGTGTGTGACAGAAAATAATCCATTTATAAGGAAGGAGTTTTTACCCTGATTTAGCATTATTTTTAACCATTGCATGTATTGTTTCCTAATAGGTGTTTACTCATAAAAAGAATTCATGGTAATTTCCTCTTAAATCTACATTTAAAGGGTCAAAAATGTAACCACAGAATAGAGAATTTTAAACCTGACAACTGGCTGGGTGGTCTGGCAGGGGTGAGAGTGGTATAAATTCTGTGTGCAGTGGTATCACCACCAGCTAACAGAAAGAAAATGAGAGAGCACACAGTTTGACTGAGTATGAAATGCAGATGTTTGTGGGTCCTAATTTAAACACTGCAAATTAGTGTGCACCACCTGAGACGGCGGGATGGAGAGCCAGCTGGGCAAACGGCACAGGGAGACCCTCTCTAGGGTCAGCACATGAAGAGCAACAGCGGGAAAAAAGAGGGAGGAAAAAGAATGAGGATAAGCTTCAGTCTTTTTGGTCTCTGAATCCAGTTGTGCCTGAGCAAACACACTTTCTCAGTTGTATGAGTTAATGAATCACATTTTACTTATGCCAGTTTTGATTAGGTTTTACATCACTTAAAAAGAGTCTTAGCTGAGGTAACAATATCTTCTGATAAAATAGATATGGTAAAATAGAAAAAATATACATTGTAACTCCAAATTTACTCGGAAACAATAGAGCAGTATATCCCCAAATTCACAAAATTGCCTATACAATTTGACCAAGTATTTCTATTTTGAAGAATGTACTTTGATAAAATAGCGACATCTCTTTTAAATTATTTTTGTAATTTACTTTATTTATTAATAGCAACAGGTAATAGCAAAAAACACATAATGAAAATGGTCTAAATGTTTGGCAGCTTGGTAGCCACTGTCATAATTCCCTCGTTTGTATGTTAACAAAGTAAACTGTTATTTAACAATGAAAAATTATAATAATAATTATTAATAATAATAATATAACTTTTTACATGTCAAAATATATGTATGCATCACTTTTAAATGTAAAAGTAGAAAATCTAGTATATTTAACCTGTCCTAAACAAAACTATGGATCCATATATTTAGAAGGTCAAAATAAATATGGAGCAATGTTCAATAATTTCCTCTTTCTCGTTGCTGTTTAAGAAGCAGTGCCACTGTTTTTTATATGCAGTGCAACATTGCTAGCTCCTGTTGAATATCTCTAAGTTGGGCTCTACTTCAAAGCTGAACACAGGGACATCTCGGTATTGCATCATTAGCCATATCTCAAAAAACATGTGTTCTTTTGGGCGTGCTCAAAATGTGCTCTGTGACTCTGCAGAAGTCGTCTCTAAGAGCTGAAGAATAAATCTTTCAAAGAGAGAGAAAAATAGTAATATGTCTCTTAATTCATCACTCAGAAAACTTAATCTGCATAATATTTGACCATATCAATTAATTTTAATTTCTCATTGAAATCCTAGTTTGAAAAATTAGAGTATTTCTCCCTCTTAGCACCTTGGGTACCATTAGCAGATTGTTCTCCTAGAAACAGAAGGCAGAAAACCATGCTTCTCTTACTCCTCCCAACTAAGTCTGTTCCTTGAAAGGGTTGATATCTACACAAATGATGATGTAAGAAAGAGGTAAATGTAAAAGACACATCAGTCATTGGTCCGAGACAATAAGAGAATCTCTTTGTCAAACACTGTCAAAACTTCTTCCTGGAAGTAAAAGAAAGGGCCAATATTCCCCAGGAGTGATGGCTTTGTAGTTTGAAAGGTTCTTCCTTGGTCATTTAACTCAGTGGTCACATCTGAAATGTTTATTAGTGGGCTCACTCTTACTGTGAACAGTATACATGATGCAACACGCTACTCAATGAGGGTAGGACTATTTTATAGGAGAAATAGATACAGGCTTTTCAAGTCAAGCTCATGGTTACTTCGGCAATACAAATTTGTTACAGACTTTAGTGACTTCCTAGTCAATTTTTTTTGTCAGCTCCATTTGCCAGTAACT